GGGTGGGCAACCCCTGGTGGGGCACAGCTGGAGGGGTGCTGCTCCTACTAGGCCTGGCCAACTGGTAACACAGGAGGGATGGGTCTCCAGAGCTCTTTTCAATCCTGCTCCTTTGGTGAGAAGGTAACATGGGCCTCGGGACCCCACCTCTCTCAGCTGGAGGTTTTCTTTCTCAGGCACTTGTCCCTCTCTTTCTTAGTGAGATTGGGAAAGAGGGCAATGGATTTTCCCACAGTGCACTTTCTCTAACGCTGGTGGGAACCAAACCAAATACCTCTTTGTGGAGAAAGTTGGTTCCTATCTCTCCACAGCATCTCTTTATTCCACTATTTATTCGTGCTTTCCCAAGCTCAGGTAGAAGGAAAGATGTATGGGGAGGAGACTAAGGTTGGGAGTGAGGTTTATTTATAGAATTGTTCTTATTTGAAATTCTGAAGAAGCGCCTATTTTATTTTTGTATTTAAAGTTGAAGGACAGTTTCAATAAACATGTCTTCTCTAGAGAGGGATTTCAAAGAAAGATCATTTATGCATATCATATAAGGGAGAGTGAGGGCATAAGACACCGAGAAGATGAAATGGAAGTTTTCAGTTGCAGAGAAGAAACTTTACACCAAGATGTTTGGACTTCAGTTGACCCACCACCTGGAGCCATTTATCTGTTAAGTCAAGAGGCAGAATGAGGAGACTGGGGGTTCTGAGTCAGCCTCCCCCCTCACCAAATGAGGAAACCCAGAGGAGGCTTTACAGACGGGTTGGGCCCCTCTGCATCTTGGGGCAGCCCGGCTGAGTGGTCTCGCCTTTTGGCTGAATGCCTCCCTTCTGCTGCCTTGACAACTCCTGGAGAAAGGAGAGAAACACCCAGCGCATCCGCCCTCCGCCCCACCCCCCTACAGTTTACCTGTTGCTGCTGTAAGTTCTGCTTCCTTGGCCTTCCCTTCCAGTCCTGGGCAGGACAGGAACTAGCCTTATTTAAGGGATGTGGGGAGAACTGGGGAGGGGGGGGATGGGCGGGATTTGCTTTTTTCTGTTAAACCAGTGTTGATCCCAAGTCCCCTCTCTTCCCCCACTTCCCAAAAATCTAAACAAAAAACAATAAACTCACCTTCTGAATCAGATTCTGCAAACACACGTTCACCTTTTGAATCTGGGCTAACTGGGGGCCATGAGGCTCTGAGTGTAAATCTGTTAGAAAATTCTAAAGGAGGAGTTGGAGGCTGACAACATGGTGAAAACATGAGGTCCATCTGCCACTCTTTCTGTCACCACAGGCCATACCTCTTCTCCATCTGGGTCTCCTCATCTCAGTAGCCCTCAAGGCAGGTGGAAAAATCCGATACTCTCCACTCCCATCTCTTTACCAATCCAGTTCCTCTATCCCCCTCAAATAGCACAGTACCCCTTTCCTTCCTTATTCTTTTTGGATCCTCCCTGTCTAGTCCTGACCCATTGGAATAGTCCAGGCCACTCCCCCATCTCAATGGGGTGATCCAAACCATGTTCCTCTGAATGGAATGCAGACCGGCCCCCTCCAGTCCCAACAATGAACACCAACCTAACTGCTTGCTGGCATCCAGTCATTACAATGCTGCTTCCAGTTCGTGATCCCTGCCCCTTAACTCTGGCCTTCCCAGGGTGGTGTCAGGCTGTCCACATGTCCCTGCTCCCGCACGCCACACGGCAGCCCCGTACCTCACCAAGAGCCCCTAGGTGCTGCTGTTGTTGCAGTGCCTCCCTCAGACGGCCCTCAAAGCAGGCCTGGCCGCGCTCCAGCAGCTCCAGCCCCTGCCACAGGGCGTCCTGCTCCCTCTCCAGAGCCTGCATCCTCTGCAGCTGGGAAGGCAAGAAGCGGAGGCTGACTTGCTCCACAGCAGGGCTCTGGGCCGTGGCCCCTCGTCTCAACCCTTGGCTGGGTTCACTGGTCACGGAGTGTGAGCCCAGCCTGACCACTGAGCACCTGGAGGGCAGGGGAGGCAGGGGAGAAGACTTATGGGTCCTCAAAATTGAGGGGAAATGTAGGGGCAGATCCAGGGGGTGGGCTTCCCTGGGACCTCTTGCTGGACTAATACTCACCCAGAGGAAGAAGCTCCGGGCCCCTGGGTGCCGGCGGCTTGTCCCCAGTGGCAGCAGCAGAACCGTGTAGGGAGCCCCGCCGCGGGGCGGCCCGCCAGGCCCCTGGCTCCCCATGGCTCCGAGGTGAGAAGGGCGGAGCCACGCCCACTGGCGCCCGGGCTGGCCCCTCCCCTCCCCTCCTGCCCTGTGCGCGTCCTACCTTCTTTTCCAGCCTCCCGGGGCCCTTTCTGCTGTGCCTGTCTGAGGCTGGGGTGTTCCTCCTTAGGGGAAAGACCGTCTCTGTTGGGTTTCTCTGTCTTCCTTCTCATCTGCTTTTGTAGGGTCTGTTGAAAGGGCTGGTCCTCGTGAGGTCCCCCTGGGTGGGACCGAAGGGTCTTCCCTACAGCAGTGTCACTGTGTGTGTGTTTAAGTTGATTTATTTTTAGTGATCTCTACACCCAACGTGAAGCTCGAACCCACGACCCCGAGATCACGAGTCGCGCACTCCCGACTGCGCCAGCCAGGCACCCCATGTCCCTGTGTGTCTAATGAGGCAGGGCAGGCCCCTCTGTGGACTTCTGCTTGGTGTTTCATCTCGTTCTTAGTCTTTTGTTTTGTATTGGCTGGTCTAAAGAAACAATAACTTTCTCTGAAGTAAACTTTATTCCTAATATGAAACAAAATTTCCAGGAAAGCTGAGAGTTCTGGGTCTGAGGAAGGTGAGGAGACAGGTTGAGGTGGAGGAGGGCCAAGGAAGGGCTCTCAAAGGAGGGCAGTGGCAGCAGGCAGCACTTCCTGACTCATGAAAAGGTCCAGGTCCAAGTCGGGATCGTCCAGGTCCAGTTTCAGAAATTTATCTACTAATGTCTGGCAACTGAGGGGAGAGAGGACAGCAGGGTTTATGGCAGAATGGAAAACTGAGTCCCCAGGCAGAGGGAAGAGGCTGTGGCACAGGGAACCCAGGAAAATTTAGGGATTTCAGAAACAAATCATGGGTCTTTGAAGGGCAAAGAGGCTGTCAGGGTCCCTGAAAGGGGAAGAAGAGCTGCAGAACATGCTGGAAAGAACCAGGACACTGGGCCACACACACTCACTTTTCCATTTGCTTCTCCTTTAGCAACTCCTTGACAGGCTTGATAGGTTTCCCACTGCGGATCAAGTCTGAGACCTAGCAACAAGAAGTGGGGGTGGGGTGGGGGTGGGGGAGTTAGGTAAGAGAACTGGAAATAAGGGTCAGAAATCCCATGGACCCAGAAACCCAGGCCCCTGAGAGGAGTAGGGACAACAGTAGGGAGCCCTGATGGAGGTGTCTGACCTTTGGATCTCACCTCCTTGCCACGAGTAAGGAGTTGGTCAGGAAGCCCAGCCCGGGCAGCTGTGTGGGAGGCATGGCTGGCCTTGGCAATACCTTCACACACCTGATAGAAGAAGACTAGGTCGTCTCCATCCTCACAGGTCTCCATGGTCTTAAAAGAGATAGAAGGGGACAGTGTGTCATGAGTCACTCTGCATCCTGCCCTGAAATCCTTGGCCAATCCCTGTGGGGAGTTAGAAACGGGAAGGATGCCTCTGTTCTAACTGAGGAGGCTGTTCTGGGTTCTGGTAAATGTTCCTCCTAGGGAGCCCCAGAGGGCTAGATTGGTATCCTTACCAAATATTGTACAAGGGGCCCTTGTGGCAGCAGCTGGAGCTGAACAAGACTCAGAAAGTTGGTGGCCACAAAGATGTGAGGGCACGTGGGTCCAAGTGCCAGCCAGTGTCTCAGGACAGCGGCCAGAAGTGCGAGCCCGTCCACCTGCGCACAGGGCAAGGGTGAGGGTACTGAACCACAGGTGCCCCCGTGTGCACCTCTCCACCTGCCCTAGCTGTCCCCATCTTGTGCTTTTCTGTTTCTTTTCTGCCCACATACCCTCTATTCCTCTCCTGAGCCTCCCCACCATTTTCCCCTCCTCAGTTTCTCATCAGCTTGTCTCCTCACCGTGTTGGTTCCCTTTCCAAATTCGTCAATGAGGACCAGAGACTGCTTGGTGGCATTGTTCACTGCTTTCGCCATCTGCTGGGCACCAGGTGGACAAGGGGAGCGTTTCAGTAGTGTTCAAGGCCTGCAACGCACTGACCACAGCTGCTTGTGTGTGTGTCCACCCTCCTGGACTGCAAGTTCATTAATGGCAAGACTCGTGTTTTGTTCACCCTTTCATTGCCAACAGTGCCTCATGCAAAGCAAAGGTTCAGGAAAGGTTCATGGTATTGATTCTCACAGTGTCTGAACTCGGTGCTCCCTGCCCCTAATACAGAAGGCATGCAGGAGACGGAATGGTTTTCTTGTTCTGATCATTTTTCAAGAATAGAGTTCCTTCCGCACTAACACCCTCCCCCAGCCCCACCGCCCTTTGCTCCCTTTGACCTGGTTGAGGTCGATCATGAAGGTAGAGAGGCCCAGGGAGATGGAGTCACAGCTGTGGATTCGGGTAAAGATGGCGTCCACAGCCCCAATTTCGGCTTCCTCTGCTGGCACAAAGCTGCCCACCAGGGCCATGAATGTGATCAAGCCTACCTAAACGTGGAGGAGACAAGGTCTTGGGCCTGGTGGTGTGGGCCGGGGTGGGGGTGAGGCAAGGCTGAGGGGTGAATTATAGATCAAGGTGGGCAGACACAGTCTAATAGGAGAGGATAGCCCCCTCAGCTCTCTTTAGAATCAGGAAAGAGGGCGGGAGAGTGGACAGAGGCGCACTTGGGAACAGCACGGCCCTGTTCAGAGGTGGGGAGAGGGTTTCAGGCCACAGAGGGATCCGTTAGAGCACGGCTCTCCCTCAAGTAGAGAGGAGAACATGTGTGCACGATGGCCTTTCCATGACAGGTCGGGTCAGAACACCAGGGAGGAGCTGCAGGGACCTGTGTTTGCAGGCAGGTGGGAGATGGAGACAATGAAGAAGATGCCAGAGGCCCGGTGTGCAGGGACTCTCCTCACCTGTTTGAGGTATATGCTCTTCCCTGAGGAATTGGGTCCAGTGATGACTTTGACCCTCCCTCTGTCCCCACCACATTCTGCAGAGTTGGGCACGAAGGTTCGGGCACAGAGTTCCATCAGAGGATGTCTGCAGTGGGTAGAAAGGTACCTCACATGTGGCCTCTGAATGCAGACGAATGAAGCCACCAGAAGATGGGGCCTTTGGGCCCCTTGTGTCTATGCCTCCACCCCCTTCTGTTCTCACCTGCCATTCTGGATTCTGACCCCAATGAGCTGGGGGGCATAACGGGGCCTTGAGTAGCCATAGTCCCGGGCAGCACTGGCAAGAGCCAGCAGGACGTCCAGGCGGGAGGCAAGGTCCAACACCCGGGTCAAGACAGCGGCCCGTGCCAGCACCTGACACTGCAGCTGGTACATCAACAGGGTCTCCTGGTCTGGGGGTGGGGGAGGGAGGGAGCTGGGCATCAGCTCCATGGGAAAAGGAAGAAGAGACAAAGAAGCCAGGGGACACCTGGAAACAGGCGTGCAGATAGAGTCCGAGACACCCCAAGCTGCCCACCCTTCCAGCCTTTTGCTTCTCCTCACCCCGGATGTCACAGTGCAGGTCCCCCAGCAATGCATCCAGCTCCTTGGTTCGAGCACTACGGTAGTGCAGCTTCTCCTCTGACAGAAACTGGGAACAAGGGCTCAAAGCTGTGGGCTTTGCATTCTTGGTCCCCATCTTCTCTAACACCACGTCTGGCCCCACGCCGACTTTTTTTTTTCTTTTAAAAAACTTTTATTTAAAAATAGAACAGATGCAGAGGGTGCCTGGGTGGCTCAGTTGGTTAAGTGTCTGCCTTCGGCTCAGGTCATGATCCCAGGGTCCTGGAATGGACCCCCGCATCGGGCTCCCTGCTCCGTGGGAAGCCTGCTTCTCCCTCTCCCACTCCCCCTGCTTGTGTTCCTGCTCTCGCTCTCTGTCTCTTTTAAATAAATAAATAAAATCTTAAAAAAAAAAAAAAAAGCTAAAATTTTGTCAGCTACCCCAGAGAGCCATCCTAATCACAATCCTCTCCAACTCCTCAAAAGTAACCTCTATTCTGACCTCTTTGGGAATCAATTCCTTATTTTCTTTATAAGTTTATCATTCAAATATTCATTCTTTTTTTTCTTTTTAAAGAGAGAGAGGGAGTGTGGATTGGGGGGAAGGGGCAGAGAGAGAGAGGGAGAGAGAATCTTAAGCAGGTTCCATGCTCAGCATGGAATCCGAGGTGGGGCTCGATCTCACAACCCTGAGATCATGACCTGAGCTGAAACTAAGAGTTGGACGCTTTGGGGCACCTGGGTGGCTCAGTCGTTAAGCGGCTGCCTTAGGTTCAGGTCATGATCCCAGGGTCCTGGGATCGAGCCCCACATCGGGCTCCCTGCTCCGCAGGAGGCCTGCTCTCCCTCTCCCACTCTGGCTGCTTGTGTTCCTGCTCTCGCTGTGTCTCTCTCCGTCAAATAAATAAATAAAATCTTAAAAAAAAAAAAAAAGAGTTGGACGCTTAACTGACTGAGCCACTCAGGTGCCCCCCACCGCCAAATATTCATTTTTTTTTGCTCCCCTCCAAATAAAATAAAAAATTTATTTTCTATTTTTACAGGAACACAGAGAGAAAAACACTAGGGAAGCATGAATACATGGCCAACTGGCTTCCAGGAAGTTTCCACCATGGCAGGGCAGATGAGAGGAGAAGCCAGGACATTTCTCCCTCTGCCTTAGGAGTTTCTCCTATTTGGCTGAATCCTCTCTAGGGTTCTAGCTCCCACTGTTTCAAGGTCTAAGGCTCTGCTGGCCCACTTCTTCCCGTTGTCTCTTCAGCCTCGGGGGTGGAAGCAGCTTTCTGTTGACATGGACATCTGCGTTGTCCCAGCTTTTGAGTTTCTCTTTCAGTTCTCCCATTAACTGTACAACCAATTCCCTGTATTAAATTCCTTCCATTAGAAATAGCTGGAATGGCATTTGTTTCTCCTTACTGGATACTGGCGGATGGAGAGCTGAAAAGAGTTTAAGACGAGGCCTTGTGGAAGGCCACACCACAAGTACTAGAGTATTTGGGGTTCAGCTGCCTTCAAAACTTAAAGCCCTCCCTTTAGAACATGGTGTTCCTTGGTGAGTATCCAATGTTTACAATTTAATTCTTAAATTAGTGACAAAATAACAATTAAAAACAATCTCAAACATCTTTGTTTTTTTAAGTCCATGGATCCTTTTGGCAAGGTCTGATTTGTTCATGAAATTCTTACCAATGTGGGGCTCTTTCCTAGGATACGGGCTGAATTTTCCTCAGTGAATCCTTTGGAGTATTCCTTCTTACCTCCTCTGAAGTCGTTGTTTCTTTGATACTTGTGCTGAAGCTGAACAGGCTTGTTGAAAGGAACAAAGCCCTTTGAACAAAGGAGCAGGGTGAGGACGAATGAGCCCCGATTAACCACCCCTGGATACGGCACATGTGAAACTGGGCCCCGGCATTCTGTACTTGAATTGCAGAAATGCAACTAGGTCTTCATGTTGGTGGTGGAGAACCGCCAAATATTCATTCTTAAAGACTAGTTTAGTTATGCCTTCCGCTGATGATTTCTATAACTCTTTTTTTAATTCCAGTATCATTAGCATACAGTGTTATATTAGTTTCAGGTGTACATTACTCAACAATTCTGCACATTACTCTGTGCTGGTCAAAATGAGTGGACTCTTAATCCCCTCCACCTGTTTCACCCATCCCCCCACCCACCTCCCCTCTGGTAACCATCAGTTTGTTCTCTATAGTTATGGGTCTGTTTTTTGGTTTGTCTCTTTTTCTCTTTGTCCATTTGTTTTGTTTCTTAAATTCCACATACGAGTGAAATCATATGGAACTTGTCTTCCTCTGACTGGCTTATTATACTTAGCATAATACTCCATGCCACTGCAAATGGTAAGATTTTGTCCTTTTTTATTGCTGAGTAATATCCCACTGTATGTAATACCACACCCATTCATCTATCAGTGGACACTTGGGCTGCTTCCACAGCGTGGCTATTGCAGACAATGCTGCTATAAAATAGAGGTGCATGTATCCCTTTGAATTAGTGTTTTTGTATTCTCTGGGTATATTTGGGTAAATACTCTGTAGTGCGATTCCTGGATCATTGGGTGGTTCTATTTTTAATTTTTTGAAGAACTTCCATACAGTGGCTGCACCAGTTTGCATCCCCACCAACAGTGCATGAGGGTTCCTTTTTCTCCACATCCTCACCAACACTTGTTGTGTCTTGAGTTTTTGATTTTTTAATTTTAGCCATTCTAACAGGTATGAGGTGATATCTCATTGTGGTTTTTGTTTTTTTTTTAAGATTTATTTATTTGAGAGGGAGGGGGGGAGGGGCAGCAGGAGAGGGAGAGAAGCAGACTCTGTGCTGAGTGCAGAGCCCAATGCAGGGCTCGATCTCATGACCCTGAGATCATGATCAGAGTCAAAATCAAGAGTTGGCACACCTAACCGACTGAGCTACCCAGGCGCCCCTCATTGTGGTCTTGATTTGCATTTCCCTGATGATCAGTGATGTTGAGCATCTTTTCATGTGTCTTTTGGCCATCTGGATGTGTCTTCTTTGGACAAATGTCTGAACATGTCTTCTGCCTATTTTTTAATTAGATTATTTGTTTTTTTGGTGTTGAGTTATGTACGTTTCTTTTTATTTATTTAAATAATTTCTACACCCAAAGTGGAGCTCGAAGTCACAACCCTGAGATCAAGAGTCTCATGCCAAACTGCCCTTAAGTTCTTTATATATTGCATACCTCTATTGGGTATGTCATTTGCAAATATCTTCTGCCATTCAGTAGGTTGTCTTTTATCGGTTGTTTCCTTTGCAGTGCAGAAGCTTTTTATTTTGATGTAGTCCCAGTAGTTTA